GGAGGAGGAGGAGGAGGAGGAGGAGGAGGAAGGGCATTCAAAGGGAAGGGGCATAGTCCAGGCCAATTCATGGAATCGGACACTGGGGCAGGACCAGCTAGCAAGCGGTATGAAGGAAGCCCGAAGGATGCAGAGGTTATTTGAGGACCAACTCCTCACTCTAACTAGATCCTCCTGCCCCTTCCTACCCTGAGCCTCCTGTCCAAACCATCTCCTTAGGCCTCCCTCCAAGGCTGCAGAAGGCATGTGCCTGAGCTTTGGCTCCGACAAAGGCCCCATTCTCTCTGGCTGGTCACAGCTGGAGCCCATGTGTGGCTGCTAGCCAGGAGGCCTCGGTCTAGCCCAGCACTGGCATTAATTTGACATAAACTTGAGCAAGGCACCCTCCGCTCCACAGCCTTGTGCTTCCTTTCAGTCAAGCAGCAGTAATCACAGTGCCCTGTCCTTCCCTGGGGTGGCATGTGGCCCTGGAGTGGCTCTGCTGAGTTGTGACCCATGGGAAACTTCCTTATGAATCACCATAAACACAGTCCCTGTGACTGTTCCTGCCATTACCGTCCGCATGGCTAGCTGTTGATTCACAGGCCAACTGTCTTCCACTCCCTCTCTCCTCCTGCCCGTCTGGAATGTGACTTCAAAGAACAGAAGGTTCCCAGCATTCATGCCCGTCCCTTCCCAGCTCCTCTCTCCTCTAAGATAGCCAGCCTCTTGCTGCCTCGTGTTGAGTCCAGACCCCTCCCTTTTATCCCAATTCTGACTATTCCCCGTTTCCTACCACCCTGGTGAAGCAAGGAGAGCCCTGGACATGAAGAGTGAATGATTTGGGACACCTGTCTTCCCCTCTCTCACCTCAGTTGTTTCCTCTGACAACGAAAGTGGACATGCTAACCTCACAGTATTGCCTTGAGAATCACATGAGCTCCCGTAGGAATCCAATCCCTGAAAACAAGACAGGCCCAGGACACACTCATGAGACCTTGGCTGGCTTAACCTCTTTCATCTCTTCTCTTTGGACAAACCATTGCTTCTTGGCTGCTCTTAAACTTTGTTTTGTTTTTGTTTTTCGAAACAGGTTTTCTTGTGTAGCCCTGACTGTCCTGGAACTCTCTCTGACGATCAGGCTGGCCCTGAACTGACTGATATCCTCCTGTCTCTGCTTCCTGAGTGTGGGAGTAAAGGCCTGGCTGACTCCTCTTACACTCTAAACGCTCCTGGGAGAGCGGAACACATGCCGTCGGTCTCACAAGTTAACAGAAGCTGAATAGCTGGCGCCTCTCCTTCCAAAGCGAAATGAGAGAAGACTGACGTTGAGAAAGTGTGTACGCTTAGGGGAAAACGGAGCAGGCATGAAGGCTGTTTCCATCTTAGAGTCACCTGCGACTTCTTCCCTGGCCCACCGACCTTGCCGCCATTCTCAACCTTTGGTATTAAAAGGAAGGGCCATCATCAGCCCAGGCGGCAGATGCCAAGGGCCTCCTGCGAGGGCTCGGAGTTACAGTTCGAAAGCAGAGCTTCAGGCGCCATCCTGTGGCCACGAGGGAGATTGCAGAAGTAAAGAGCTGGAGAGAAGAGAGAGGAAAGGATCTAGCTTCCCCCTTTCCTCACAGACCCCATCGGGAAGTGCCCTATTCGGGTCTCACACCTCCGGAAGTCTCCTCTCTGGCCCTGCGTCCACTTAGACAAGAACCTGCGTCCTCTAGGGCTCCCTTTCTTTGTCTTCAAACTTGAGGGATTAGGCAAGGTGAGATCCAGGTGTCATGCCAGGGGCTTAGTTTATCTTCTCGTGGTATCTAAGCAAGCCCAGATCAACCCAGCTTCTGTGCCCAGCTGCTTCTGACCCACATGGGCAAACACGGAAAATGCAGCCACGTGGTTTAAGGTTTGACACCAAAAGTCTCCTCTATCCCCCTTTCCTGCCCTCTGCAGCATTCTCTCGTCAGACACACCCTCTTTCTGTACAGTTCTACGCAAGTGGACTTAGCTCCCCTCGAGCCTTGAGCTCCCCCAGCTCAAGGGCTGTTCTCAGGGACACAGGTCTCCGTCTCCACCCAGCCTAGCAGGGCGCCAAGTACATGGCGCTTCCGCTCTGAAATCAGTCAGCCTGCCTTCAGCCATGGATGGTAGCAGAATCGTATGCCCCTCAGCAGCTTCCACGTATAAATCCTGGGAAGCTGTGAGGAAATCTCTGGCACTGCGCGACAAAGGAGACCTCTACAGATATTTTGATGTAGAGGCGTAAGTCGCAGGGATATAATCACACACAGAGATAGGACTGTCCAGATCAGAGGGATGCGAGACTGTGAGCCAAGGAATTCTGGAGGCCTCTAGACTGCAAAAGAAAACAGACCTCTCCAGAAGGAATGCACACCTGCCTCCCTGTCTCGAACTTTCGGTTTGGGGAACTGTAAAACAAGGAACTCCAGCTTTCAGGCTCCTCCGTTTGTTAGAGCTGCAATAGGACACCGTTAACATGCCCGCTCAGCCTTTCTCTAGAGATGCGGCTTTGGTGAACTGCGTGCCTCTATTCCTTCGTGTGTATAATGGGAATGAGGCAGACAACATTTACTTATTAATCGGGGATATGGGTGTGGAGTTCAGAGGACAGCCTGCGTGCCTTGGTTATCTGCCTTTATCATGTGGGTCCTGAGAATTGAACTCAGGTTGTAAAGCTTGATGGGTAAATGTGCTCGCCAGCTGAGCCATCTTAGATAATACTTACCTCACAAGGCTGTCTGGATAAAAGAGGATACCGTGGCAATGCTTGAAACTCACTTAAAACCATGTCCAAGATTGAACATGATACCAATTACAGTAAGAATAGTTGCCAACTACCATTAGCTGAGAGCCTAAAATGCGTGTTGGACACAAGAGCAGGCGCCTTAGCAAAAATTCTTCTAACCACGTCAACCCCTTTGGGGGATAACAACAAACCCAGAGGAATTTACCTGAAATTCACTCTGAAACCGAAAGCATTGTAAGCTTTAGTTTCCTGTGTGTATCTGGGAAGTTTGTGTTCCTTGACGGTAGAGGGGTTTATGTTGCTTGGCTTTGTTTCTTGAGGGGGTGGGTGGGCAGAGGGAAAGCCACAGGCTCAGCGTGCCACTGAGTGCCAGAGGCAGGCCCAATCCGGATGAAGCGCATCTCTCATGCCCCACTCGACCGAGGCTCTCACCTCCTCACCAAATCCCCAGCCAGGTCCCAAGCGGCCTTTGAGCGACATTTTTGGCGCCAGGAGACAGGAATAGCAAAAGAACGAAGTGATGGAGGATGCCGGACTCAGACTTGCTCAGACCCAAGGGTTCTCGAGGCACCCCTCCTTCCCTGCGTCCTGCATAACGGGCCATCTGTTCTGGGCTGAATAAACAAGGAACGGGAAGCGGCGGCCGGGCCCCCTGTCCCCAGCCCCCGTCCTGCACAATGCGCCTTTCTCCGAGAGGACGCCGTCCGGGCGCCTGCGAGCGAGCTCCATCTGAACTCCCTTCCCCCTAGCGGGGCAGCAATAGCCACAAACCGACTCAGTGGAAACCCGTATAGGCTTTTTTTTTTTTTTTTTAAGAAAACAAAACAAATAAAAAAAAAAAAGAAATCCAACAAAGAACTGGACTCAGCACGCGGCGAGGGCGTGCGAGTGTAGCGTGTTTCCCCACCAGCACCTCCCCATCCCATCCCATCCCATCCCACTCCAAATCCGGCTTCTGGTCCAGGCGAGGCCAGCTCGAAGGCAGCGCTGGGGGCCCGCCAGCGCCCCCTCCCGGACGGTTCATGCCGCGGGGCACGGGGCTCAGACCGCTGGCGACCTTCACTTCCGGCTAGCTAGCTGGTTCTCCAGCTCCTCCAGGCGCTCTGTCAGCTGGGCCAGTGCGCAGTTAAGGAAGACGTGGGCTCAGAGATTCTGTCACCTGCCCTGCAGCCCGCGCCTCCAGGCCCAAAGGATATGATTCTGCGTCAGGCTCTCAAGCGCTCCCAGTGTGCGGCCCTGGAACTCCACGAGACTTTCGCATTCGCAGGGACTCCGAAGTTCTGTCCCCGCGCCGATGCCCTCCTCTGCAAGCAGAGCACCAAGAGTCAGGAGAGTGAGCCAAGGAAGCCCGTCGGTCTGCGGCCTTGACCTTCTGATACATCTCTACCAGGTCGATGGTTGAGTATATACAGGCTTTGGATTCAAACCTGGCCTGAGTTCCAGCCAAGGAGCCCAGAAGTCCTGGGGAAAACTCAACCCCTGTAATCCTCAATTCCTGCATCTGTAGGGAGAATCTAGTTTACCCACTGGTGGTTGTGAGGATTAGACTATTTGTGTATGTGTACAAATTCTGAAACCCCAGTGCTTTCTGGGATATCCACGGAGCTTACTAGAATCCAGATTTTGATTCCTAATGAGGGTCTGTATTTTCAATAAGCTCCTAAAACATGCGGATATTAAAGTCCATGGATTTCACTTTGATTAGAAAGAACCTAGAGGCCAGGCAGTAGTGGTGCACCTCTTCAATCCTAGCACTTGGGAGGCAAAGGCAGGCGGATCTCTGTGAGTTCGAGGCCAGCCTGCTCTACAAAGCAAGTTTCAGGACAGACAGGACTGAGAAACCCTGTCTCAAAAAATAAAAATAAAAAATAAAAAAATAAAGACTCCAGAGTGACAAACACTCTCCAAATGAGACATAAAAAACAACGGGAGTGTTCCGTATCTGTCACACCCGATTTGGTAGCCACAAGTCACCTGGAGCTACTTAGCCCTGGAAATGTGGCAGCTGCATCTAAGTGCTCAGTTTGTGTTTTATTTACTGTGTTCAGTTGTAATTCATTATACACAGAGAGCAACTGGAAACCACGCTGACACAATGCCTAAAGCCATGCCAGGCACATGCCAACCCTGTACTGTGTATTTTAAGTCAACCAGCATTGCTCAGGCTGTAGTCTGTGGACAAGCAGAAGAGCATAACCTAGGAATAAACACAGGTTTGGTCCAACCCTGCCCCAGACCTACTGAGTCACGGTGAAGCCCAACAATATGTGATTCCATTGGTTCTGAAGAAAATAATGTTTAAATTAAGGATCCACATTTATCTCCACATGCACTTCAGCACCCGAGAGTGGAGTACAGTTTTTCTTAACGGGACATAAGTAAAATGATGGTGAATCTTACCAGAGATAGCGTCACTGTAAGCCCATGCCTTTTTATTATGTGCGTGTATGGGGTGTGTGTGTGTGTGTGTGTGTGTGTGTGTGTACATGCCACAGCACTCCTGTGGAAATCAGAGATCAACTTTTGGGAGTCAGCTCTCTCCTTCCACCTTGTTGAGACCGGGTCTCTGGTTGTTTCTGCCCCCCCGTGTACACTCAGGCTAGCATGTATGCCCAGGCTAGCTGGCCTACAAGCTCACAAGGGCTCCTCCTGTCTTCTTCCATCTTGCTGTAGGGATGCTGGGTACAGGTGCGACTGTATCACACCTGGCTTTTTGTGAATGTGTTCCAGGACCGAACTCAGGTCATCAGGCTTGCATGGCAACTGCTTTTACCTGCTGTGCCACCTCACCCATCCCCATTCTCAATATTACAGGTAATAAAGTCATAGGCACAATTCTTGACACTCTCCCTCCCTATAAAGTTAGCATTATAGGTCAAACTCCCATACTTGGCAAACTACTTTGTGTCATATTACTTGATGGTCTCAGTAACAACCCCGACAGGATTGCCTATGGCTTTAGAATTGTAGCCACAGAGGGTCACGGAAGAAAGAGGATCAGACCAGGCCATACTACAGCCAGCCAATGAGGAGCGTTAACCAGAGAGCCCCAACTTGCCTCAGAAATCTAAAGTTGGCAGTAACTTTGAGTGTCCTTCCCCTTACAGAAAAGGGGGAGGAGGGACTTATCCAGAATCCCCTGCAAATGACAGGGTCAGGACAGGAAAGGCCCTAAAGCCCAGTGCTTCCAAAACACCTTAGTTAATCATTAGAGTTGATTACAGAGACTCTGCTCTGGGCACAGCCCTGCAGACCTACCTCCACAGGCAGTGCCTGACACACTAGATGGAGAATCCCATCTTAGCCCTGTGTTGGACTCTAAAGACCCTGGGGTCAAAATCAAGACCTCCCAAAAAACTTTGTCCCTTATAAGGTCCAACTGCCACCCCCCACCACACACACACACACACACACACACACACACACACACACACACAGAGGTACATCTGAGTCTGTATCCCTCAGGTACATTAGAGTGATTGCATTTATGGTCTGTGTCCCCCCGAAAGCTCAAGCTACTCTGTTAAAACCCAGTCCTGTCACTTTGCCAAGTCCATAAAGTTGAACTCCAACAAGTTGGAGGGCTATAGTTGGTTCCACTTACCTATGCTGAATTTGGCTTGCTTTTTACAGTTTTCTCCAAGGCTGGAGAGATGTCTCAATGGTTAAGAACACTGGCTGCTCTTTCAGAGGACCTGGTTCAATGCCCAACACCCACGTGGTGGTTCACAACTATGTGTAACTCCAGTCCCAGGGAATCCGACCCCCACACACACACTTCTGGCCAACACAAGCACCAGGCACATATGTGGTGCACAGACATACATGCAGGCAAAAGACGCACATAAAAATTACAATAAAAATAAAATGATGTTTTCTCAAAGTATTCCAAACACTATTTGAGCAACAAATCAAGAGCTTCCTTGATTCTGATGTGCACCCAAAACACTTGCGGGTCTGAGTCATTGTCTAGGGCCTAGTTTCTGACAAGCTACATTAGGAGACAGGCCTCTGCTGGTCCGGGCTTAAATAACAAGCTCTGTATAGAGAGCTGTGACTGCCGAGGGTGTGTGAAGTGCTGAGGACAGGGTATCTATGGGAGGCAGGGCAACAAAAGACCAGAAGGCCCAGGGGAGATGCGCTCACCTGGGCAAATGCTGCCTTTGAGATTCTCCAGCAGGTGAGTCATGGTGCCAAAATCGGGAGAGTAAGACACATGCAGCTCGGATGGTTCGGATGCGATCTCGCGCAGTTCTTCCTCCACCGCCTTGCCCACGCCCACAGCGTACATGACGATACCTAGAGGGCCCAGGCACTCAAGAGGTCTCCAAGCTTCGAGAAAACTGCTTCCCGGTCGCCCACTCCAACCCCACCCAAGTCCATCCCTTGCCAAACTTACCTTCCTCTTTAGCACGAGCTGCCCACACGGAAATGTCGTCCTGAGAGCGGCCATCAGTGAACACCAAGCCCACACGAGGCACATTAAGGTCCCGAGGCCGTGCACCCTGTGCCTCTGAGAAGCTGTGCTCCACCATGTGGCGCAGCGCCAGGCCAGTCATGGTGCCCCGCTCCATGTACTCCACAGCCAGGACAGCCTGCTTCACCTCCGCTGCGGTGCCATAGCGGCCCAGAGGGAACTCGGTGCGCACCCTGCTGGAGAACTGCACCAGGCCAATGCGTGTGCCTTCGGGGGACACGTCCAGGAAATCCACGATCTGGTTCACAAAGCGCTTCACCAGCTCGAAGTTCTGTGGGCGCACACTCTTGGAGCCATCCACCAGGAGAACAAGATCCACATGGCCCTCCCGGCACCCTGTCAAGGAGAAGGTTTGGATGGAGGGGTCAGGTCCTTGACCAGCAGAGCCACATACTCAACTAGTTATTCACCGCCAGTATTTATTATATAATGCATGCCAGTTATGGGTCCTGCCCTGTGTGCCCAGTGGTGTGCTCAATCACCGCTATCATGGTTACACCATCCTCCTTTTTTTTTTTTTTTTTTTTTTTTTTTTGAATTTTCGAGACAGGGTTTCTCCATAGCTTTTTTGGTTCCTGCCCTGGAACTAGCTCTTGTAGACCAGGCTGACCTCGAACTCACAGAGATCCACCTGCCTCTGCCTCCCGAGTGCTGGGATTAAAGGCATGTACCACCACCGCCCGGCCATCCTCTTTTTTTATGATAGACTTTGATGGTTAAGTGCTTAGCACTAACCAAATGCTCTGCTAAAAAGCATTTTTTTAGGCCAGGCAGTGGTGGCGCATGCCTTTAATCCCAGCACTCGGGAGGCAGAGGCAGGTGGATCTCTGTGAGTTCGAGGCCAGCCTGGTCTACAGAGCAAGTTCCGGGACAGCTAGGACTGCTACACAGAGAAACCCCATCTTGAAAAAACAAAACAAGGAAACATTTTTTAAATAACCAACAGAAACAATACCACCACAGCTATCATACATCAATGACCTAGTACCTATCTTCTGTCACAATTCTAAAGCATCGTATCCGTATTGATAGCAATGACAAAAACATCACTTACTGGTGTTTACCATGTGTCAGGCACTGAAAACATGCACTGTGTTCACTTTCTCCTTGAGTGTTATCCCCGTTCTCTATAAATTGGGATTCAGAAGGATAAAGTAATTTGCTTCCATAGTTAGTAGTGGCAAAGCCAAGACTGGAAGCCAGGATTAGCTAAACCACAAACTGCTGGACCTGATCCCTACATCCTTGCCCCCTTTTGCTCTGAACCAGGAGATCCGGAAGTACCCCCAAGGAGTTCAACAACAAAGAAAGCATAATCCTGACCCATGAGCTCAGGAAAGAATGTGACAAGGCGAGGCATGCCATCTGCTACAGCTAAGGGAAGTGCACCATGAAGGGACATAAGGGAGCCCAAGAGAGGATAAATCATTTTACCTGGAGAGGCTGAGAAAGGCTACACAGAGGTGTTGAAATTCAATTCAGTATTTGATTTGGATTGGATAACTGTGTAATTCAAAACTCATAGACCAGAACCCTTCCTCCTAACAAAATCATCTTTGGAAGGAAACTGGGATTAGAAACAGACATGGGAGTCGAGCCTTCTTGAATGGAATTAATGTCTTTATAAGAGTTGCCTGCCTCTTCCTTCCATCCATCATGGGAGAACACAGAGAGAAAACTGTCATGTATGACCCAGGAAGCAGAGTCTCACCAGACACACTGTCTACCAGCATCTTGGTCTTAGACTTCCCAGAGCTGAGAAATAAACACTTAAGACACTGTTGTGGTTTAGATATGGTTTGTGCCCAAGAGTCCATATGCTAGAAGCTTGGTCCCCAGTGTGACAGGACAGAGTGGTGATTAAGACCCACAAGGTCTATTTTCCATCACTACGACAAGAATACCTAGCATAAGTAACTCAGAGGTGAAAGGATTTGTTCCAGATCATGTCCATGGCTGTCTGGCTCCATGGCCTTTGACCTGGGGTAATGCTGACGTCAGGAGAATGGTGGAAGAAAGCCACACCCTCCACTATAAAAGGAGAGACGGACAGGAAGGGACCGGATCAAAACACTCTTCAAACAGGACGTGGTGGCACAGGCCTGTGATCTCAGCACTTGGGAGACTGAGATAGGATTCCTGTGAGTTCAAGGCCAGCCTGGAATACTCATCAACAGCTCAGTTGGTGGAGTTGCTGCCTAGTATATACCAAGTCCTGAGTTAGGTCCTGAGGCAGGAGGATTAGGAAGCTCAAGGTCATTATCAGTTACACAGCTAGTACAAGGCCAGCTTATGCTATGTGAAACCCTGTCTGAAAAAAAGAAAGAAACTCTCAAAAGACATATACACTCCATGACCCTCTTTCCCCAGCTGGGGCCCAACTTCTACAGTTTCACCTCCCAACAGTCCAAAACTCTACTCCCATACTTAATCTATGCTTGGATTAATCAATTAATAAAGGCAAAACCCTTTGTGATCCAATCACTTCCAACAAGCCCAGGCTCTGAACATTCTTGCATTAAGGACCAAGCCTTTGATACATGAGTCCTGAGAGGAAACACTTTGTATCAAAACCATAGCAGGCCTTCTGGGAGATAATTAGGTCATGGAGCATGCCCTAGGAAGAAAGTAATGCCAATATCAAAGAATGGAGTAGGTCTCAAGAGACTAGCTTAATAATCCTGACAGCGAATCGTTACAAAGGACGGGCGCCTCCTGTATTTGATCCCCGGTACACACATGCTCCTCACTCTCAAGATGGTCGTGTGGCCATCACCAACACTGAGATGTTGATACTATGCTCTTGGACCTACAGATTTGAGTTCCATAAGCTTTGTTCTTTATAAGTCGCCCAGCGTTGAGCAACACACAACAGCACCGCCACACAGCAACCTGGATGGACCAATGCACTCTGACGACGAGGAATTTGCCAAGGCAAGAAGAGACATTCTAGAAGGTTGATGGAAGCATGTACAAAGGAATGGGAGCTGGGAAGCTCATGCTACATTTGGGAAGAAGTAGGCCAGTGTGACTAAAAGGTTCAAGTGTAGCAAGAGATGGGCTAGAGTTGACTAAAGCGAGATTGTAATGAGCTTAAGTGATACCTTCAAAACTGACCTCAGCCCACAACGAGACACAAGAATAATAATATATCACGGTGCACTTCACATTCTTACATGGAACTAAACTGCTGCCTCATGAAGCAATACTTGCTTTCCTAAGACCAGGAAACCGTTTCCTCTTCTTTCCTTTAAACGCTGATTTTAACCCACTAATTTGGTTTCATTATCCATTAATGTGGTTGTACCCAGCCCTGGAAAAACTCAAGGGAAAGGCATTTGATCTTTATTTTGTAGGCACTGGTGAGCCACAAAAGGATTTTGAGTGAAGGAGGAATATGATTAGATACAGATTTTGAAATCAGCCTTGGCAGCAGGGAAGAGGACTGGTTGGAACAGAAGCTGGGAAAAAGCCCATCCCCCCACAGACAGCCATCCACACCACATCTTTGGGGCTATGACAAGGGCATTGAGGAGGTCAGATTGTAGGCAACGGGGCAGAAGAAGACCCTCTGCCTATAACTCACGGTCACAGCTCTTGCCATCAGCCTGAAGTCGCCTCCCCTCAGGGCACAGGCAGCGGAAGGAAAGACCCTCACTCACGCACTGGAACTCGCAGCCGTGATCCACGCCATTGCAGAAGTCCCTGACTTAGAGGAGATACCAAGCAGAAAGAGTCAGGTTAGACCCCAGCACCTCGAATCACTTCCTATTCTCTACAAATCTGAGAGAAGACACCTCCTCACCCCGACAGCTCCTCCCATCAGGAAGCAGGTCGTGACCCTCTCTGCAGCGGCACTGTGGCCCCGCTAGGGTGCTCACACACTCATGCTGACAGCTATGGTTTCCAAAGCTGCAGTAGTCAATGGCTGAAGGAAGGAAGAAATGGAAGGTGAAGCCAGCGGGAGCCTCGGTCTAGCACGTTCACAGGGGTGGGTGAGCGGGGCTTACTTACCCCTGCAGCTCCTCTGGTCCTGCTGGAGTGCAAAGCCAGCTCGACAACGGCAGAAATAAGAGTCCAGGAAGTTGACACAGAGGTGTTCGCAACCGTGAGTCCCTTCTGCACAGAGGTCCACGGCTGGGAAGAAGATGGAGTCATCGCTCAGGGCTGTATTTCACAGCCGGGCCACACAGCCCTCAGAGGAGCTCTTTAACAAAGCCTGGGGCTGAGCATCAAGGAGATAGTGTGGTCTGTGAAGTGCCTGCCGCACAAGCGTGACAACCTGAGTGTGTCAGGATCCCCAGCATCCACACGAAAGCTGGGTATGGTTGCTGTAACCCTAGCTCTGAGATGGGCAGAGACAGGCAGATCTCCAGAGACCACCAGCAGACCATACTAGCCAATGGTGAGCTCCAGCTCCAGTGGGAGGACTTGTTTCAAAAAAAGAAAGAGGAGCGGCCGGGCAGTGGTGGTGCATGCCTTTAATCCAAGCACTCAGAAGGCAGAGGCAGACGGAGCTCTGTGAGTTCAAGGGCAACCTGGTCTTTAGAGAGAGAGTTCTAGGACAGCCAGGGCTACACAAAGAAACTCTGTCTCAAAAAAATCTTAAAAAGAAAAAAAAACAAACAAATAAATAAATAAAGTTTCAGGAGATCACTCCATGGTTAACACAATATTTGCCTCACAAGCCTATGACCTGAGTTCAAAACCCATTTCAAGTCCACAGAGTTGTCCTCTGGCCTCCACATGCACACTGCCCCCCCACACACACACCTGCACTCACACGTCATACACACTAGTAATAATCAAAAATTGTTCGATAATAATGAAGTGGGGAGTGGTAGAGGAAGATACTTGACACTGACCTCTGACCTCCACAGGCATTTGCATACACGTACATGCACCAAATTTTTTTAAATATTTATTTATTTATTATACAAAATTATGTCAGTGTATATGCCTGCAGGCCAGAAGAGGGCACCAGACCCCATTACAGATGATTGTGAGCCACCATGTGGTTGCTGGGAATTGAACTCAGGACCTTTGGAAGAGCAGGCAATGCTCCTAACCTCTGAGCCATCTCTCCAGCCCATTTTCTTCAAATTTTTTTTAATTAAAGAAAAAATGCTAACACCCATGCCTTGCCCTACCCCAAAGGTCACAATTAATTAATCTGGTGTGCTTTCCAGACATTTGTAGTCTTCTTTCTACAGGGTTGGGTGACATTTCCCAGAGCCAAAGGGCCCACTGCTGAGTCCAGCATGTGGAAGACTACATACAGTAGGAGGCCATTGTTCATTTCCCATCCACTCAGACTCCCAAAATGATCACACAGAAACCATAGTACTTGCAATATTGTTTGGCAATAGCTTAAGCCTATTTCTGGCTAATTCATATCTTAAATAAATGCATCTCCATTAATTTACCTGTGGCTTACCAGGTAAAGTTCTGGCATCTGTCTCTGGCAAGGCTACATGGCTTCCCCTGACTCCACCTCCCTTCTCCCAGCATTCAGTTTAGTTTTCCCCACCTAGCTCTGTTATGCCCTACTCTGCTATAGGCTCAAAGCAGTTACTTTATTCATTAACCGATGGTATTCACAGCAACCAGAGGGGAATCCCACATCAGAGGAGGATCCCATCCTCCACAAGCTCAACGGCTCACAGCTGAGCGTGAGGAGCAGCATCTTCACCTGTCCGAGAAACGCAGTAGGAAGAAGCTGTTTACTATTTCCTTCTGAAGGGGCAGAAGGGAGACCTGTTGCTGGATGGATTACTTTGACGGTTTGGATATGCAAAGATGGCCTAGATCTGAACTGGGGAAAATGGTGAAATGTTGGGATTCCTGGAAAAGGGACTTCAGGGGACAGGCGGAGAAAAGTCACAGATAGGATGAAGTTTCGTAGCCCTGTGGGCTAAAGATGGCAATGGGGAAATCCCTGTAGTAGGATAATTGAGGGCTTCCAGGAACAAGGGCATCTAGCGGCAATTACAAGTAATGTTTTTCTCTGTATGTTTGAGTTTTACCTTACTCATATCCCTGCCCACTTCCACCTTTTACAAAATGGACACGTGTACACGTACATATGAAAGCAGAGCCTTCTGTGCACATATGTGTAAACCGAAGACTGTAACAAGGTGAGCACGTGGGACTAAAAATTTGAGAAAAGATCATAAGTAAAAAGAATGCAGCAGCCGGGCGGTGGTGGCGCACGCCTTTAATCCCAGCACTCGGGAGGCAGAGGCAGGCGGATCTCTGTGAGTTCGAGGCCAGCCTGGACTACAAGAGCTAGTTCCAGGACAGGAACCAAAAGCTACGGAGAAACCCTGTCTCGAAAATCAAAAAAAAAAAAAAAAAATGCAGCAAGGTGAGGCATAGTATCAGTTATCTCTGTACTCTGAAGGTTAGGGAAGAAGGGTCATGAATTTGAGGCCAGCATGAGATACACAACAAGAAAGTAAGGGAGAGGTGGGGGAGACAAAAGAAAAGGAGAGAAGAGGAGAGGAGGGAAGAGGAGGGAAAGGGAGAGGAGAGGAGAGGAGAGGAGAGGAGAGGAGAGGAGAGGAGAGGAGAGGAGAGGAGAGGAGAGGAGAGGAGAGGAGAGGAGAGGAGAGGAGAGGAGAGGAGAGGAGAGGAGAGAAGGCCAAAGAAGAAAGAGGAAGGGAACTAAACAAAAACCCAGAGCAGAATATAGCTACCAAAATGCGTGTTCTAGATACCTTAGGAAAAGAACGTTGACAGTAATCGAATAGGGTGCATATCAAACCTTTTTAAGCTTGACTTTTGAATATTTGTGTGTGTGTGCGTGCGCGCTGCTGTGCACAACTGTATGGCACTCGGATCAGAAGGGTGTTGGACATCTTCCTCATCGCTCTCCACCTATTCCTTTGAGGCAGCATCTCTCCCTAGACCTGGAGCTCCTGTTTTCTTGGCTACGCTGGAGACCAGCAAGTCCCAGAGAGCTTCCTGTCTCTGCCCACCTCAGAGCTGGGGTTACAGGCACTTCCCAGATGACTGTCTGGTCATGACCGCTGAGATCCAAATTCCAGTCTTCATGATTATGTAGCAAGTGCTCTTAACCACTTTGAGCCATCTCTCCAGCCCCCCCAAAACCTTTCCAAGTTTCTAAGCAGAAGAAGACCCAGGTGGTATCTGGGTTATTGGGATCACATGACCTCTTTTTCCAGATTGTGAAGCTAAAACTGTGGAACTAGTTGCTGTGAATGTATGGAAGTCTCCTAACACAAGGTCTGATCTAACTGGCACTATATGAGTGGTAGAAAACACAGTCCCAGGAATACTCACCAAAATATGCTCATCACAAGGAAAAACCCAAATATTCATATATGTTTGCTTTTTTAAAAAAAAAAGCCACTCACCAAAAAGAAAAAAAAAACAATCATCTAACGAAGGTATCACGCATCATAGCTTTTCAGAATTAAAGTGAAAAAAAAAATAGTCAGGCAAAGGTGGCGCATGCCTTTAATCCCAGCACTCAGAAGGCAGAGGCAGGTGGATCTCTGTGAGTTCGAGACCAGCCTGGTCTACAGAGCAAATTCCAGGACAGGCTCCAAAGCTACAGAGAAACCTTGTCTCAAAAATAAATAAATAAATAAATAAATAAATAAATAAATAAATAAATAAATTCACAGAGAGGAGAGGAGGCACCACAGAGAGGGAGAGCTGAGGTGCAGAGGTAAGAATGAAGAACATTCAGGGTGGAGAGTTGAGAGGGCCGCGTAGCTGAGGATGATCCCAGAGGTGTCTAAGTGACAAACTTGAAGGGTTGGACTTGGAGGAGACAGAAGAAACAAGTCTGGGAGGTGGATTGGAGACAGGTAGGCGACTGTACCAAACGGAGGAGAAAGGGTACAAAAACAACGATTAACTGGGTGGGGTCAAGACTCCTAGATCTGGTTCACCATAGACTTGTGTGGCCCCAATTAATATCCCCTCTTTCTATGGCTTGTAAGATAAAGGGGGTGTGCTTCTACTTCCAAAGGACTTGCCAAAATCGTTGTTGTGATGCTGTGAAGGCAAAGAAGGTTCAGGAACAATGAGACTCCAGGATGGGGCAGTGCTCACCCAAACACTTCTTGTTATCTGGGGCTAGCTTGTAGCCAGAGTTGCAGGTGCAGTAGAAGGTTCCTGCAGCATTGACGCACTGGTGTTGGCAGCCATGTCCCTGCTCAGCACATAGGTCCTTGCCTGAGGACACACAAGGAGAAAATCAGCAGAGAACAGGGGAGCAGAAGTGTCCAAGGAGAGGGCTCAATGATAGGCAGCGGGGTCTTGAAGTAAATACCCAAGTCTGAATTTGAGAAGGCTATGGATTCCTTTCTTTGAGAGGGCCAGTCCAGGGGAGAGGGCTAGGGGAAGGAAGAACCTTTGAATGGTCTTAGAAAAGAACACTGCCCTCCATGAAGAGGGTCGTGCAGGAAGGTGGAGAGGTACAAATCACAGGAGATGAAATAGCTCAACGTGTGAGCACAAAGCTAGCGCCCCAAGCCTGTAATCTCAGTGTTTAGGAGGTGGATTCGGGAGGATCCGGAATTCAAGGTCAGCCTCAGCTACAAATCGATTTCAAGGCCAGTCTGGGTTACAAGAAATCAAGTCGTTTTCCTCCCCCCCCCCAACAGTCCCGCCCCCCCCCCCCCCCGCAAAAGTGACTAAAAGAGTTCTCATGGCCTTTGTAAACGGGAATGGAAGGATGGGCGCGGGGCTTAGAGTAGGAGGAACCATTCTCCCGTGGGCGGAGCATGACTCCTGATACACAACACTCTTAGTTTGGAGGGTTGATGATTCTGTTTGTTTTTGTTAATTTGTTTGTTTGCGACAGGGTTTCTCTGTGTAACAGCTCTGGCTGTCTTGGAACCCACTCTGTAGACCAGGCTGGCCTCAAGCTCACAGAGATCTGCCTGTCTCTGCCTCCTGGGTGCTGGGATTGAAGGTGAGTACCAACATTGCCCAGCGATGATCCTTGTTTAAAAGACATTTTTGTGTTAGAGTTTGACATTCAGCGTGTGACACATGACGCAAAGGACATAGCAAGTCCCTGATCCAGCACGACTGGCTGCATGGTGTTGTGGGACCAAGCCTGAATTGTGATGCACCCTTCTGCTGACATAAACACCCTACTGTGCCTGGAGGGCGGAGTAAAGCTGAGGGGCCACCCCACAGGGAGGGATTTGTTTGTAATGATGCAAACTTGAATGTAGCCTCCGCGAAGCTAGAGAAAGCTCAGCCGATGCTCTAACTCACCGCACAGCCGGCCCTGGAACTGCAGGCCAAACTCCCGGATGAGATCGAAGGATTCCACCAAGAAGACGTGCTGGTCCAGGGGCGGTGAAGCCATGGCGCGTAGAGAGCCCACGTCTGCTCGCTGCACTCCCACCGCGTAGATCTCAATGCCGCGGGCGCGCGCCTGCGCAGCCACTTCGGCCACTCGGTCTTGAGGTCTCCCGTCGGTCACGATGACCAAGACGCGCGGCACTCGCTCCTCAGATGGGCGCGCGCCTTCGGCCTCGCTGAACGCCACGTTCATGGCATACTGGATGGCCAGCCCGGTCATGGTACCCTGAGCCAGCGGCACTACCGCGCGGATGGCGCGCTCCATGTCCTCCCGGCGCGAGAATGCGCCCAGGGGAAACACGCTCTGTACTTGGCTAGAATACTGGATCACGCCAACACGCGTGGCGTTCAGCCCCACGTCGAGGTTACGGAGGAGGCCCACCAGAAACTGCCGCATGGTCTCAAACTCGAAGGGGCGCACGCTGCGGGAGCTATCAATCACGAACACCAAATCCAGGGGGCCAGTGTAGCACCTAGGACCTGCGGGGAGATGGGAAAGGACTCTCTCAGGTCAACTAAAGCTGATCTCTCAGGAAAAGCCAAAAGAAATGCTGTTATCTGAATGAAACAGCGCCCAGCATATTAACCTAACAAACATGCCTTGGATACAGCCACTCATTCATCACTGACCCAGGAAATGCACAAGTTCCCTGCATACAGCTCTGGGAGCAATTCTGAGTCGACATTATATATTTAAGAAGTGAGCAAAGAGATGTCCCAATCTCCAATGCCTTCATGGACCAACCAGATATCATAAATGTATGAACTGGTTCAGTTATGCCTATGATATCACAAGCCTCTGTATCCCTGCTAACGTGGGTTGTCCCAGCTACATACTGTTATATACCCAAATGGGCTGGATGTTTAACAGGTCCTTTCATTTTTTTTCAGGAAAATTCTCAAATAGGGGTTTTTATGTGAAATCACCTGATTTTTTCCATATTTTCAATATACTTCAATAAACTGCAACACCAGAAGATCAGTTCTGCATGAACCCAAAACTCTACCACATACTCCAGGAGTAGAAACAACAGGAGGGGTGAAGTGGGAAGCCCAAACCCAGCCTAAAGTGTCCCAAAGTCCTTGCTCCCACCCCAGCAATGCTGGCTGGCAGTAGATGAAGGAACTGTTTCTGCACCCCTCCTCCCATGACGAGGGCTGGGCCCCAGCTCACCTGTGGTCTGGAGCTGGATTTCCCAGGGCTGGAGAAAGAACAGCGAGAGAAGCAGTGGCCAGCAAAGGTGGCCTCTCATGGTGCTTGCAGGATGAAGAACCAAAGTGCCACAGCCTGAAGGTAACAAAGCAACAGTTTGACTTGGCTCTCATTTCAGGGGGTGTGCACTTGGTTTCTGTGTATGCTCAAAATGTCTTCCCAAGCATGGTTGCACACTCAGGAGGCAGAAGCAGACAGATCTCTGTGACTTCGAGGGCAGTCTGGTAGACATAGCCAGGCTATATAGTGAGACCTTATCTCAAAACAAAAGCTCTATAATATCTTTTTGATGTCACCACCCTGGGATTGCTGAGATTCAAAGGTGAGCCTTGTAGAAAATGACATTTTGCAGAACTACAGGACACCAAGTAAATAAAGAGTGGGCAAAACATGTAAAATTCAAAAGGGGATAAACGCCTTTATAAAAAGATGTTTTACATGTATTTTTTTATTGTGCGGGCATATACACACTACGACACACACAGAGGTCGAAGGCAGTTCGTTAAAGTCGGCTCTCTCCTTCCATTGTATGGGTCCCAGGATTAGACCGTCCTGAACTCCGGTGGTCGGTCTTAGCAGCAAGCACCTTTACCCACTGAGCCATTCTACTGACCCCCCCCCCCAAAAAAAAAGCCTTTTCTCAATACCAGGTACAGCGTTAAATGTGTTCATTCGATGTGGCATTAACTCTCTACCCAGTTCTGACACTCGAGGCCGTTGTTGGCTTGGCTGCACCTATTCAGAAAAAGAGGTTTAAAGAAATTAAATGCTGCTAGCCAGCCTCGCGCAGCAGGAAAGTGGCCACACCGGGATAGAATCCTGTCTGCCTGGCCTGGGAATCAGTCAAGGTGCTCCGTACTCTCTTCTTCAGCAGAGAGAAGCCAACCCCACTGTCTCCCGACCCCCTGAGGAGAGCAAGCCCTTATGGGTTCTAGGGTCTTTGTGGTAAGCGAGTGGGCCCTGAACAAGAACTGCCTCCGTCTTTGTTACTCGCCTGCACTAAGAAAAGGCCGCCAGGGGGCGCCGCCGGGTCTGGCTTCTACGGCCATGGGAAGCCCACATCTGCCCAGCAGGTGCCCCTGCCCAGAGCAAACAGGACGCTGGGGAGCCGCGGGACCTTGAAGATAAGGCTTGGACGAAATATATCCGGTGAGAGGGCTGGGGGGTGCAGAGGTGTGGAAGGTACCGAAGACAGAGGCACTAGACGTGCCCAGAGAGCTGCTGGGGCCCCGACCAGCGGCCATGGACCCTATGGGGACAACAGGTGAGTCTTCACCCTCCTGCATAGCCTAGAGAGGTCCCCTGAGAACGAAAACACAGACACACACACATACACGGACACACACAGGAACACACAACACGGACACACACAGGAACACACAACACGGACACACACAGGAACACACAACACGGACACACACAGGGACACACAACACACACACGGACACACAACACATACTGTACTAATGGAAAATGTGGAGCCCAAAAAGAGTGCCAGCTGAGCTCCAGATACAGAACTAAACCTAGGCCCCCTTCTTTTTCTCCAGAGTTCCCAGGTTCCCTGGCACCTAGGAATCACTAAGCCTTTCTTCCTTTCCCTACCCCACCCCCACACGGGACGCTGAGCCTGCTCAATCCATTTTTCTGTCGCTGTTTCTTGGCAAAGCAGTCCAGCGCCCCCTAACCCACCGCCGCCCCGCCCCCCAGTTCCTTGAATGGGCCCATTCTGAGCAAAGCCTGTGTGTGTGTCTGGCTCCAAACTACCTTCCTTCCCATCCGGGATTCCTCTCCCTTCTGGTTTTCCAGGCAGGGTAGAACAAAAATCCCTCTGGCAGGGCCTGTCGTGGTAGAGTGACTGAGCTAGCAAGATAATGTCAGCTGCTTGCTGGTGGAGGTAAAAGGAAGGGGCTGCCTTTTCTGGAGTGGGCCATAGCTGAGGCACCATCCGGGTTACCATCTGAGTAAAGGTCCACGGAGCCTTTGAGACTCTGTTGGCTCTTGACTGTGATCCCTCTAATCCTGCTCTTGGCCTATGTCGACTCGTACTTGGTATCACCTCACCTGCACCCAGGAATCTTAGAAAGTCAAAATAGCCTCAACTTCAACTTTCCCGACGCCATCTCCCCACCCCCGTCAGTCCAGGGAGGACCAAGGGAGTTATCACTCAAGGGCTTACTTTGAAGTGGTGGTCCACCAGACTGCCACTGGACCCCAGTTCTCCTAGACCTAAAGAGTCAATCCTTACATTGGGGAGGAAGTTTCTCCCATGCCCGAGGAAGGGGTCTATGAGATCAAGAGCTGACCGGGAATGGGCACTTTGGGAAGCTGCCAGAACCTAGAGGGAGGAGATTAGAGAATGAGGGCCTACGGTTAGTCGGCCTTGCTGCAGGGCCATCGGAAACAGTACTGCAGGTTAGACGTGGGCACGTAGGCGGCTAAGTACAGTCCCCCCACGGTTTTTTCTGCCGGCTTCCCTGCAGACCCCTCGGTGCCCCCGGGCCCTTTGACTCACCTGAGCCTGCGGGACAGTTCAGAGGCGCGGCTACAGAGTGACGGGCCAAGCCTCCTAGGGAGTTGGACCAGGTAACGGCGTGGGCAGCTTGCCCTAGGTGGGGACTGCCAGACAGCTAGAGCGAGGCGAGGCGGCAGCTGCATTTAACCTGGGGCGGGCGGGTGGGGAGGGGGAGCGCGGGCTGCGACCCCTCCCACTGGCAGGGAGAGATCTCCCCCTTCCTCTGAGTACCCGGGCCGGGCAAGCGCGGTGCCCCCTTCTCCTGCCACTGTCGGAGCTGCAAGCTCGAGCTGCGGGCCGGAATTCGGCTACAGCTGGAGTCGGGGCGGCGACACTCCCGGCAGCCGGAATGCTCTGGAATCCTACACGAGACACTTCCCAGAGGAGAGCCCCAAGAGGCGGAGCGGTCCTGGCCGCCGACTGCCTGGCCTGGCTGGGCTTCCAAGGACGCGCCCGGTTCTTGCCCTCAGCTGTCCCTTCCAGGAGTGATGGAAGGCCGGGACTTGGTCCTGCTAAGAGGGTAAAAGGACTCAAAGGGACAGCCTCCGAGTTCTTAGCTCTCTTCAGGGCCCAACTGCTCATTTCCCAAATATCTCCCACCATGCTCCGTTTAATTGTGTAAGTTTTGTGAGAATCCATCCTCACCTGCTAAACCCTCAGACTGACAAGTAACAGACCCCAGAGAGCTGGCCTAGCTCACCCTACAAGGCCAGTTCTTGATTCCCTGTATTCGAAGAACAGAAAACCCCCGTAGTAATATGCCAGCGGTATTGTTTGCCCATCAGAAAGACTCCGGTCCATCTCCATCCTACTAACGCGGCTTGGGGCCTCATTCACATCTACACCCATCTGCCTGCTGGAACTGCGCTTGTGCCCTGGACCTGGGGCCAGCAAAGCCTGTTTCTTCTTATTCTCCTGGGGTGAGGGCTTAATTGCCATTTCCACAAAGCCCACCTCCAGATGAAAACCAAATGTAGGGCTTTCAAATGCAGCTCTTCCTCCGTGGCCCCAGACTACAACAGCCAGGAAGTCATCCACAGAGTGCAGCACCTGGGTGATCCTGGTGGGCTCCCCACAGGCCCATGACCCGACCCCTGGGGGAATGGAAATCAACCCCAGTCTCCCTCTTCAGCCCACACAACCCTTGACCCTTCCGGTGGCTGGTTGTCCCATCCCTATTCCTAGGTCACCCCCAGAGCACGCCACCATCCTGAGGGAAGGTGTGCGCACATGCCTGCAGCAAAGATGTGAGCAGACTGTGTGGATCCTGCATGCCAAGGTGGCTCAGAAATCCTATGGAAACGAGAAGCGGTAGGTGACTCTATCCACACCCAGGTCTCCGCAGCCTTCAGCCCTGTACACCCTTCCAAACCTCTCACCATTTAGCTGTCACATCTTGGAGGCCTTAAGGCTGGCACCTCAGGTACTGGCCAACCAGAGTCCTGTTCCTCAACCAATAATAGCCACCAACTGTGATCTACAGCAGAATTTGACAGGGACTTTCAGATCCCCACATCCCCACACATTACCCATCCATTCAGTTACTTAAGAGGTCCTGTGGTCGCTGCTGGGCACTAAGCATCCAGTTGCACAAGACTGATACATGGCATCTTTACTCAAGTGCAAAAGAAGGACAACATTGTGTGGTTGGTTCTCTTCTTCCACCTTTCAGTAGGTTCTGGGGATTGAACTCAGGTTGTCAGATTTGCCCTGGCAAGCATTTTATCTGCCAAGCCATAAGAAGTAATCTGGTAGATGGGCGGTGGTGGCCCATGCCTTTAATCCCAGTACTCGGGAGGCAGAGACAGGTGGATCTCTATGAGTTCGAGGCCAGCCTGGTCTACAGAGCAAATTCCAGGACAGGCTCCAAAGCTACAGACAAACCCTGTCTCGAGAAAAGAAGAAGAAGAAGAAGGAGAAGAAGAAGAAGAAGAAGAAGAAGAAGAAGAAGAAGAAGAAGAAGAAGAAGAAGAAGAAGAAGGAGAAGAAGAAGTAATCTGGTTGCTGGGTGAAAAACAAGTTCCAAGAGGGACAGTGACAAGGGAGAAAGAGTTGGAAGGCTGAGAGTGGGGAAGGCAGAAGGTAGCAGTTAGGATCGAGGTGGTAGGAAGCCAATGGATTCCAGATATGTTCTGAAGATGGAGTGGGCCGGACTGACAGGGTTTAATAAACAAAAGAATGTTCTGTGTTTAAAGGGATTCACTCGATTAGGGGAGGAGAGGGAATTATGATTCTTTGGGTTGATGTCTCTTTGAGACACTTTCGAGACAGTGAAAATGATATATCCAGTTCTCTACGTGTTTCCAGGTTCTTCTGTCCTCCGCCCTGTGTCTACCTCGCCGGTCCAGGCTGGAGGGTGAAGCCACTGCAAGACCAAGGTGAGCGAGCCCTCGGGGACTGTAATTCAGCAGGGGCCTGGAGACCAGCCATTTGCAGTGGCAGTCTCGTTGCTCCCTCTGGCGGCAAGAACTAAGTTTGACTGGTACCTTGAGTTTCCCCAATCCTTCTAAGGTTAATTCCCGTCATTTTCTAGCCCACCAGTCTGCGGAGACCGGACCCACGGTCTGCGGCTACATGGGACTGGATGGTGCGTCCGGCAATGCTCCTGAGACGCAGAAGTTGAATTTCGAAGAGCAGCCGGACTCAAGGGTGAGACTGAATGAGAGAATATCCAGATCTTGCCTTTTCTTTGCAAAGGAGAACTCCTAAGTCCTCTCCAGAAGCCAAGAGATTACTTGCGGGGAGGCCAGAGGGTGGGTTCTGATCCAGACCCTAGCTAGTGAGGCTTCTTGTCTTCTCTGATGGGACGCATGTCATAACTGCGGAAGGTTCGCGCATCCGCTGGCAGAGTTGAAATAAGACGGGCCCCACCCCCATGAGTCCCGTAGGAATTTGGTTGTGCCAAGACCCTGTACATCTCCGACGCCGATAAGAGGAAGCACTTCCGGTTAGTGCTGCGGCTTGTGCTGCGAGGAGGCCGGGAGCTGGGCACCTTCCATAGTCGCCTCATCAAGGTGATCTCCAAGCCCTCACAGAAGAAGCAGTCGCTGAAAAATACAGACCGTGAGAGGGGGTGGAGTGGGAGGGCGCCATTCAAATCCAGAGCTGTGAAGTTGGGAGGAGGGTGCAGGGGTGGAGTCAGGGGGACGAGGTGGAGACTGAGTGGAAAGAAGTCTGGGGAGTAAGTGGCTGGCCGAGACCAAGAGAAAAGTCACGCGCATACATGGAGATCCCCACGTGATGCAGGAAAGAGAAGAGGCACCAGATTTGAGGACGACAGTGAGGGGCTAAGAGCAGATAAAATCTGCAGGCAGGTGCCAAACCTGAGGCAAATTAAAAATGACCTTAAGGAAGTTGTGTCCCAGATCCAAGCAGCGTTCTAGGTGGCCCTTGGTATTCAGGAAACGTGGATGGCGTGGTGACATCGTGTAGCATCTGGCGGTCTTGGTTAGAGCCCTGCCCTGAAGTTTGCTAGCTGCCTGATTTCGGGCAGACTGATCCCTTAGCTGGAAATAAGAGAATCAACTGAGCTGATACCCATAGTTAGAAAAGGAAAGGATGAGGAGACGGCTTGGTGGGGGAAGTGCTTACACACAAGCAGCAGGGTCTGAATCTGGGTCCCCATAAAAGCTGAATGTGACCCCAGCACTGAGCAAGTAGGGACAGGGGGATCCTCCTCGGCTCTATGGTCAGAAAGTTCTAGAAAAATAGTAAGCTCTCAATCCACACACCCACACAGGTGTGTGCACCCACCCACACATGTACACACACATATAGAAAAAAGAAAGGAAGGAAGAGAAGGAGGAAGGACAGACGGACCTATTGTATAATAAATTCAATGGAAGGGGGCCTGGACTAGGTATAAATGGTATGCCAATAGTCTGACCAGTGTTGGGAGTAGAGAGGAAGACTGACTGGTCTAAGTCAGTGAGAAAATAAAGCTGGGTCTCTGAGCACATGCCATAGGCTGGAAGACACATTGAGCTCTCAAAAAGTTCCCCTGTTCTTTCATATACGTGATCTGTGCTTGGAGGCTGGCCGCCTATGCCACCCCTACCTGCTTCACGCTTCCCGGCCTCCGGAGGCCTCCTGAACTCAGCCTAGTGTTAGCATTTGGTATTGAAGTCCTCCATGAAGACCCATGAACTCGCTCAGAGCAAAGCCCAGTGCACACCATCAGCTCCCAGCACAGTACCTATAGCCAACCAGGCCCTGAGTGACTTTGATGATCTCAGCCTACTGAACTGAAGGATGTCCGGTCACGCCGGGGAGCTGGCAAGCTCAGAAGCAGAACTAGAGCGGCCCTAGCTAACCCGCTGGGAAATTCCAATCCCTATCGTGTCCAGGCCAGCGGGCAGAGTAGGCAGGCTGTCACAGAGGACAGGAGATCATCTGGGGAGACCGAGAGACCACACTGATCCCACTTCCCTCACAGTGTGCATCTCCTCGGGCTCCAAGGTCTCCCTTTTCAACCGCCTGCGCTCCCAGACAGTGTCCACGCGTTACCTCTCTGTGGAAGACGGGGCCTTTGTGGCCAGCGCAAGACAGTGGGCTGCCTTCACGCTCCACCTGGGTAATCATAGAGCAGGCGCGGGCTGGGGGCTCCATGTGTGTTAGCATATTTAATCAACGCTTCAGGAAGGTAAACCAGTGTTACTGAGCCTTGGGAGGGGAGAACAAAGCTTTGCCCTCACCACCGCCTTAGCTCACCCACTCTATTCTAATCCCTGTGGCTACGCCCTTTCCCCTCAAGCCAGTAGGTGGCTGGCCCAGGGAGCACACCTTTGTGGGGATGACCACAGATTACCTCTCCAGGACTAGATCCCTAGTCTTTGCTTCTTCGGCCGTGGCCAGCTGTGGTGTGTCACAAAGCCAGAAGTGGAGAAGCAGGATTTGGGGCAGAAGTTCTGAAGCCTTTGTCCCTTTCTTTCATCTCCAGCTGATGAGCACCGTTCCCAAGGGGACTTTCCACCCCAGGAAGGTTACATCCGCTATGGCTCCCTCGTGCAGCTCGTTTGTACAGTCACGGGTGTCACACTGCCTCCTATGGTATGAGAAAGGACTCTGTATCCACACGGGTAACCACAGATCAGTACAGAAGTGTGACCACTGTGGGCAGGGCTGGGGGCGGTGAGGCCTGAAGGTCTACAGACACCGATTCTCTCTTAGTGCTTCATGGGAGTGTGCCCGTGACCTCACGGCTATCAGAATAGAACTGCCTGGCTGGGAGAGCAGCCAGCCTCTGGGGAACCCCGCACCTTGCCACCCCTCTTCCTGACACCCCTCTGCTGCAGATCATCCGCAAAGTAGCCAAGCAGT